TGGACTAGCCAAGGGAACTTGAAGAGCATTCTTTCTGGGAGAACTTGAGAGATTCCTATCTGACTAGAGACAGAGAGATGAACTAGCTGACCTCTGAAAATCCCACTTTTTGTGAGGTTTCCAAATGAACATTCAGGCTTCACTATGTGGAGCAACCCTAACCCAAAAGGAAAAAAGCAACTAGAGGCACTTCCAAGCACCCATCTATCTGTCTCAGAAAGGAAATTTACTACAAATCCTTAGGAACTTTGCCTGGATATGACATCCAAAAATATAAGTTAAGGTGCTAGAATGGGAATAAGTAGGGAGGGCAGAAGGGAGGAGCCAGGGAGGGCAGTTGATTCTTACACACAGTGGTCGAATGTGTGCTAGAAAGATCACTAGACTGAAAGTCAGGAGATCTGAGTTCTAAACCAGACCCTACTATTCACTGAGATTTCTAGCTTTCCCACCTGAAAAGTGGATAATATTCCTGTTCTCTCTGTCTCAAGGGTTATTGTGAAGCTCAGATGAAATACCTGTAACTCAGGTTTCCAGCCAAGCTTGGGGCATTTTGTGTGCTGCTGCTTATGTGACTTGCCTCCTAATTGGTGAGGAAAATGCAGACACAACACTGCAGACCAGCACGGAGAGTGACGTTAGCTCCACAGCTTTGGAGACACATTCTTCAAGAGAAATAACATGGTTCCAGACTTTCTTTATTACAGGAAGGAAGAGAGGGATAGACTTTAGAAGCTGAAGATACATAGGGGAAGCCAGCTCTTCGGCATGTCCCTGATCTCCGGAGTGCCTCCCTAGAAACTGGAGAGAGACTTTCCCCTCAGATAACATCAGGATCTCCTTCTCTTGGTTCAAGCTGATTCCCATCAAAAGAATTCATCCATTCATTCTCATGTATTTTCTGGTATATTTTAATCTGTAGAACTTCTCTAATTTCTGTTTGCTGTCTTGTTTGAATGTGTAGATTTACTTAATATTCACCATTTGTGAGAATCTTTTGTGTAATCAGCATTTCTCCCCTCCCCCTTTAGGGGCTAGCAATGAGGGAAAGGAATATAACAATGCATTTAAAAGTACTAGATACATACTCATTATGAAACTGTCTAGTGCTTCCACAAGTCCTTTTCCCCGGTCAACCCCAGAAGTCTAGATTTTGATTCTAGCCCTTCACTATAAGGACCTCTCTTAGGAGGCCTGGTTCTTCCCAGAGCTTGCACTTCACCAGCCTTGACCACGCAGAAAATTCCAGGATGCTTCCAAGTCCTGCTACAAATGAAAAGCAAATGTGCCTGCACATCTCCCCAGAGATTCAGCTGAAGGAAATCAGACCTTTCCACCAAGTTGAAAAACTTACTACAGCACTGGTTGGCATTTCCCGAGGTGACAGCTACTCTTTACACCGTCCTGAAACACTTCCCTGTCCTATCTGCTTTCTATTTTCTTTCTCTGGAGCCAAACTTATTATCTTTCCCCCTAAACCCTAGTCACCTCTTGCCTCCCTATCACTATAGAGGGCAGTACCATCCTCCCAGTCTCTCAAGCTCACAACCCAGGAGTCATCCTGGACTCCTCACTACCTCTCACATACCCCTCATACCCAAGCTATTGCCAAGACCTGTCAATTTCTCCTTTGCAACATCTCTCCAATATGCCCCCTTCTCTCCTTTGACATTGCCACCACTTAGCATGTTTTTATCACCTCACATTTGAACTGTTCCAATAGTCTGCTGCACTCCAATCTATCCTCCACTCAGCTATAGTGATTTTCCTAAAGCACATGTTTGACCATGTCATCCTTCTACTCAGTAAGCTGCAGGGGGTCCCATTGCCTCCAGAATCTAATACGAAATGCTCTGTTTAGCATTCAAAACCTTTCATAGCCTATCGTCCTCCTAACTTTCCAGTCTTTCTTACACCTTACTCCACTATACTTACTCTTTGATCCAGTGACACTAGCCTCCTGGCCTGTTTCCCAAAACAAAACCAAAAAATCCATCTTTCATCTCTTTCTCTGGCTATCCCTCATGTCTGGAGTGCTCTCTTTCCTCTGCTCCAACTACTGATGGCCCTGGCTTCTTTTAAGTCCCAACCAAAATCTCACCTTCTACAGGAGGTCTTCCCTAACCCCTCTTAATTCTAGCGTTAATTATTTAATATAATTATTTTATTATTATTTATTATATATGTTAATTATTTCCTATTTAACCTGTATATAGCTTGCTTTGTATATATTTGTTTGCATGTTGTCTCTACCACTTGATTGTAAGTTCCTTGAGGGTAAGGACTGTCTTTTGCTTTTTTTTTTTATCTTTATCACTTAGCATAGTGCCTGGCACACAGTAGATGCTTAATAAATGTTGAGTGATTGATTTGTTGAAATCTAGACTCTGCCATACCTATAGGTGAGGATTCAAATATGATACTAGCCTGGAGAAACTGAGGCTACATAATTCCTAGGAGATGAGAGGAGGGGGTGGAACCCAGATATCAATGCCAACTTGAGGAAGAATAAAGTTCTGAGGAAGGGATCTTACAGTAATGAATTGGAAGCTAGAAGGGACCTTAGGAGCTCTCTAGTTCAACCTTGTAATTTTACAAGTGAAGCAACTGAGGGACAGCAAAGTTAAGTAACTTATCCACGGTCATATGGAAGGTAAGTAGAGGAGCCAGAATTGGAACCTAAGCTCTCTGTCTCCTAATCCACAGCCCTTGCAAGGGTCCACCCTGGCCATCATCTTATCATCCACTCTGCCATCTCACCCTCTGGACACCAGATCTTTGGAGACCGTGCCCTGAGGAACTTCATTGATTCATCTTTGGGACACCTGCCCCAGAACTAAGCTGTGATAGAGAATGAATGTGGCAAACTCTACTAGCCCACTCTATCTGTTCAGCCCCAGATTACATTTCACATCCCATCAAGCCATTCATCTTAGCCATCTTCCTGCCACCCACCCTGCTGCATATCTCTCCTTCCCTCCCCCACATGCCCAGCTTGTCACCTCTTATACTAGGAATTCTAACCAAATCAATAATATTCTGGAAAGGTTAATCAGTCAACTCCCCTCTGGCTCCACTCATCTTCCCTTGTCCCTTGTCCACTCCCCTGTATGTGATATCTCCTCTTAATAATATGAGCTCCTTGAAGGCAGAGACTGTCTCACTTTTTGTATCTGTATCCTCATAACTTAGTACAGTGTTTGGTGCTTAATGGTGACTTTTCACTCATTTGTTAGATGCATTCATTCATTCACATCTGTCACTCCACTTCACTACACTCCCTTACAGCATTAAAAAGGCATTGCACACTTGCAAATCAGACCCTTTCGCTCACCCTTGTGCTGTGGAGCAGAATAAAGAAGGGGGAAAGTATATCATAGGACGGTGGATTCAGAGCTGGAAGGAGCATGAAGGGCACAGGAGTGTAGAATCTGAGAGTTGGAAGGGGACTCAGCATCCATCTAGTCCGACTTCTTACCAAAGGGAATGCCCACGATTACATTCCCACCAAGCAGTCATCAAGGCTCTGCTTGAAGACCTCTATGGAACAATAATCCAGCACCTCCCTAGGCAGCCCACTCGCCTTTTGGTCAGTTCTCATTGTTAGGATGGTTTTCCCAACATCAAGCTTAAATCTGCCTCTTTATAACTTCAGTCTTGGCTTTGCTCTCTGGGGCCAAAAGGAGGAAATCTGGCTCTTCCTCCACATGATGGCCACTCAAATACTTAAAAGGAAATATCACATCCCCTCTGAGTCTTTCTTCTCCAGTTAAACATGAAGTTATCTACTCCAACCACTTCATTCTACAGACCCATTTTACAGATGAAGAACCTGAGACCCTGAGATGTTAAGCCACTGGGGATACAAAAAGAGGCAAAAGACAGACACTAGAAGAGTAGGACATCCTTCTTCCCTTCTCTGAACCCCCATAAGTACTTTACTTTGTATGTATGTATATACTTTGTGAATTCTCTTGTAGTACTTTTTTGCATCATAGCTTATATCAGTTACTGGTACAAATGTCTTATGCCTCCATACTAGACCATAAGCTTCTTGGGGTGGGGATCATAATCTGCTCATCTTGTATCCCCTAGAGTGCCTAGCCCAGGCTCCCGAACAAAGAATATGCTCAGGAAATGGAAGTTGAATTAATAAATCGATTAAATGGATAGAATTGCTACCCTACCAAACTCTAAGAGTATGATAGAATTTCTGTCTATTCTTGGCCCCTGAATTTGTGGATGGAGCCATAGGAGATGTTTCCCAGTGATTTAGGCCAATGTTGTTCCAACTCCCAGAAGAAAAATGTAAATTGTGTAGTCCCATAGGAACATGTCCCCTTACCTCCCAGGAAGAGTCAGTTTCCAGCTGAACAAAATCAATCCTAGCAACAACATAAAGCCCTAAGCAAAATCCACTGGGGAATGCTACAGCAGCAGTATCATCATCATCACCATCCCTTATATCTGTATGGCATTGTCTTGCCTTCTTAAGCATTTATTTTGTATATACTGTGTCATCATATAGTAGCATGTAGGTTCCTTAAGAAGACGAACTATTTGCTGTTGGTTTTGTAGCTTGCACATAGAAAGCACCTAATAAATGTTTGTTGAATTGAGCTGAATATATGCCATCAATTCCCTTCTGGTCTGTGACTTCTTGGAAGGCAGAGATGGCAGCTTTCTGACCTTTTCATCTCCTTTGCCTAGCATGGTGCATTCTACAGAGTAGATATATAATAAATGTTTGCTGAACTTTAAATTTTAAAGCAATTGCTCATCTCTGCTTTCATTTGGTCCTTCCCTAAGAAGGCAGAGATTATTACCTCTGCTTCATGGATAAGGAAACTGAGGCCCAAAGAAGTGATGGGACTAGCCCTAAATCACACAGATAAGTAGTGACAAGATGAAACTAGAATCCCCAGATCCTCTTGACTCCAAGGGCAGTGCTACACATCTAGGCCACACTTGTAATGTTATGAGAAAAGAGGCCCCCTTACCTGACTTCAGGGCAAGGGCTCCCTGGAGTGCTGCCCAGTGGCTGCTGGTATCCCAGGCCAGACTTCTTGTAAGGGGCCTCCCCTTTCTCAAGTTCTCTTTCCCTCCAACAGTCACTGTGTCCACTCATGTTGGGAGCTTCAGCACCATCCAGGTCCATCACCTGACCTGGCCCAAACCCCAAGGACATGTTGTTCATGAGTGACAAATCACAGAGGTCACCATCCCTGCCCTCAGCACTGTCCCCACAGGCTAGGGTATCTGTCCTTTTCCTGTACTCCACAGGCTCAGTCAGGCAAGTGTCCCCACTGCAGTCCACATTCTCTGTGCCTGAGCTCCCATCCCCTTTGGCTCCATCTGAAGGGGCAAGCTGATCTTTTGTAGGCTCTTCTCTCAAGGTCTGCTCTCTGCTGGGCTGAGGTCCCAGGATTGGGCTGTGGGAGACACTGCTTTCCACTGATGGTGATGGAGGGAGATGTTCATAATCCATGGTAGTGGCCAGCTCCACCAGTAACTCTGCCCCAGCAGAACCTGGGGCTCAACGTTACCTGGGTGGAAAAAGAAAGGCAGGATCCATGTAAGAGAAGCCTGAAAATCCCTGAGTTCCCTTCCCCTACTAAGATTCTGACTCTGTATTACCAGTTCATACATCACAATTATCAGAGTCTTTATTCAATGTTGTGCAAACAGAATGACATAGGTGTGGGCCCTGCCCTGAGGAAGCACACAATCTAAAATCCAGGATATCTTTGGAATCTAGACAATGCCTCAAGAGTAGGGGTGGTTTGGGGTGGATCTGCCTAAAGATTGGAGCTCAACAGAAAAGAGAACACCTTCAGGACCTTTTGACACAAATATATAGTATTCTCATTCTGGCTTCAAGGTCTTTACCTATATTATCCTTGTTCTTCTTCCCACCACTATCTACTCAAATCCTAGACTTCCTTCAAAGTCCACCTTTCCCATAATTGCTTTCTGGTGACTTCACTCTTCACTGACCTCTCCCCTTCTGAATCTCTCATAGCTGTGCCATCCCTTCAGGGACTGCATTATTCTCCATCATTGTTCTCAGTAGAAAACTAGTCTTGGCATCAGGAAGACCTGAGTTCAAATCCTGTTTCAGATGCCTACTATTGTCTGTGTAACCCTAGCTGAATCACTTAACCTCTCTGTCATTTTCTTCATACATAAAATGAGGGAATTGGGCAAAATGTCTTCTAAAGTTACTTCCAGTTCTAAATCTATTATCTTCTTCTCTAATTGTATCACATTTAAGTCTTATTTCTGTGAAATACTGAAGACAGAAGTTTATCATCTCCTTTTCTATGGTGGAAAGATAGTTGGTGCTCAGTAATGACTTATCAACTTAAATGGAATGCTGGAAAGTGACCAGATAAGTCTGAGTCAGAGAAACAATAGCATTGCAGCCCAATATTCATTCAACTTGGCCCTGTTCTGGACCACGCTGACCACTACAAGCAGCCAGAGTTCCAAGTAAGATAGTCTGAAAGAGGTTGGACCACTTGTGACTCAGGTCCTCCTGAGCTAAATACTTTTTTTTCAGTCCCCAACCACTAGCTGTGTTCATTCAATCAACAAGTATTTATTAAGCACTTACTGTGTGCTATGTGGAGGAGAGATATAAAAAAGTTTAAGACAAATCACTGCCATCAAAGAGCTCCAAGTCTCTTTGGGGAGACAAAACTCACATGGGGAGCTAACAGTAATACCAAGATGCATATTTTAAGTGCTTAATGTATGCGACAGACACTAAGCACTTCATGAGTTCTGAAGCCAAAATTCACAGAATTTACAAAACTATGAGAGATCAGACCAAGGTCCATTCCATAATTTATATCCCAGGAAGCATCAGAGAGATTAGTTAGCCAGTAAGTGGTCTTTCCATAAAAGATCACAGAATGTGACAGTCAGTCATATTATAAACATTTATTAAGCACCTACTTTGTGACAGACACTGAGCTTGAGTGCAAAAGATACAAAGAAGGCAAAAGACAGTTCCTACTTTCAAGGAGCTTTCAGTATAATGGGGGAGACAACATGAAAACAATTATTTATAAACAAGATATAGTCAGGATAAAATGAAAATAATCAATAAAGGAAAGTCATTAGAAATAAGGGGATGGGGAAAAGCTTCCTGTAGAAGGGGAAATTTTCACCAGGACTTCAAGGAAGACAAGGAAGCCAGGAGATGGAGAGAAGGAGGAAGAGCATTCTAAACATGAAGAAATCCAGTTGAAAATGCCCATAATGAGGGCAGCTGGATGGCACAGTGGATAGAGCACTGGCCCCAGAGTCAGGAGGACTTGAGTTCAAATCTGGCCTCAGACACTTGACACTAGCTGTGTGACCCTGGGCAAGTCACTTAACCCCAATTTCCTCAAAAGAAAGAAAGGAAGGAAGAAAGAAAGAAAGGAAGGAAGGAAGGAAGGAAGAAAGAAAGAAAGAAAGAAAGAAAGAAAGAAAGAAAGAAAGAAAGAAAGAAAGAAAGAAAGAAAGAAAGAAAGAAAGAAAGAAACTAAGAAAAAGAAAGAAAATGCCCCCATAGTCAGAAGAGGGAGTGTCTTGTTTGAAGAACAATGAGGAGGCCAATGTCACTGGATGGCAGAGAATGTGGAGGGGGATAAAGTGTGAGACTAAAAGGTCTCACAGCAACCCTGAGAGGCATGTGCTATTATTATCAATATTGTATAGTTGAGGAAAGGGAGTAGGTCAGATTATGAAGGGTTTCAAACATGAACCAGGATTTTATATTTGATCCTAGAGGTGACAGGGATCCACTTGAGTTTATTGAGTTGGGGGTGAGGGACGACATGGTTGGACCTGCGCTTTATTACGATCACTTTGTCAGATGAGTGAAGGATGGACTGGAATGGAGAAAGTCTTGTGGCAGGAAGACCAACCAGCAGGCAATTGCAGTAGTCCAGGTGTGAGGTGCTAAGGGCAACCGAAAGGTACCAAAATCACTTCCAATGGATTGGGAAAGGTTTACATTTGCATTTAAATGTAAATTTAAATGTGTCTGAAGTCCTTGGAATTCACAATTATTCAAATTAAACCAAGGGTTCTTAAACTGGCTTTTTTTAAAAAAAAACATCAAGCTAGTTATTTTGTAACACTACATATTTTATTTCACGCATATTTGAGAAGTGATTTATAGGCTTCACTGGAATGCCAATAAAGGGGTCTATGAGACAAAAAAGATTCAGAACGTCTAAACTAAACGATGAAGCCCTCTAAAAAAGCTCCAACTTGAGTTGCTAGAGGACAAGAAAGTTGTGATACAATGGAATATCCACTAGATCTGGAGTCAAAAGAGCTGGTTTCATATCTCAGTTCTGCTACTCATGTTTTGTATGATCTTGGGCAAGTCATTTCCCTTTTACTGGACTTCGGTTTCTTCATCCATAACATGAGGGTATATGAGTTCAATGAGTATTCATTAAGTACCTACCACATACAAGGTATTGTACTGAATACCAGAGATATGAAAACAAAACAAAACAAAATTTCTGTACTCAAGGAATAAAACATAATTTTAGGGAAAATAAAGCATTTATTAAGCACTTACTACATGCCAGGTGCTATGCTAAGTGCTTTATAAATATTATCTCATTTGATCTTCACAAAAACTCTGTGAGTTAGGTGCTGTTATTATCCACATTTTACAGTTGAAAGAAGTGGTGCAAAGAAAGGTTAATTGACACAGCTAGTGTCTGAGGCTGGATTTGAACTCAGGGCCTTTTGTCTCCAGGTCCAGCACTTACACGACCTAGTTGTCACTAGCAACTTGAGGGATCAGGAAAGGCTCTCCCTGGAAAGTGGTATCTGATTTTGACCCCGAAGAAACTTAATGATTCTGAGAGGTGGTGAGGAAAAAACACATTCCAGGCATGAGGGTGACAGCCTATGCAGAGGCACCAAGGTGAGAAACACACTGTTGAGTTCAGGAAACAGTAAATAGGCCAGTTTGACTAGAACAGAGAGTGTGTGAAGGTCAGTCATATGAAATAAGTCTGGAAAAGCATTTGGCTGGCACCAAATTTTGAAGGGCTTTAAATGCCAAAATGAGAACTTTGTGTTTAATTGTAGAGGCAATAGGGAGCAACTGAGGGTCCTTGAGCAAGAGATCAAGAACAAGGGTATGATCAAACCTGTGTATTAGGATGATTATTTTGGCAGTTGTGTCCAGATGGATTGGAGAAAGGATAGACTCAGAGTGCAAGTATGAGTCTATAGCACTAATCCAGATAAGAGGTGATAAAGACCCGGAACAGGGTAGTGGCTGTGTGAGTAGAGAGAAGGGGATGTGAAAGCTGTTGTGGATGCAAAAGTGACAACTGATCAGATGCAGGAGAGGATGAAGGAGAATAAAAGGTCAAATATCTTAAAGATTTTTATTACTAGGATCTACCAAAGCTGCCCAACATCCTCATCCCTTTCCCACTCAACTCCATCCTGGGGATGAACAACATTACTTCTTAGATTGCTGCCAAATACCAGATTAAGTAAAAATTCACTCTCATCTTACCCTCTCTACAAATCACTTTCCCCAAGAGTCAAAGAAGTAATTATTTAGTAACCTAGAACCTCCTTCCCTTCCCACTTCCAAAGGACCACTGCCTGTATTCTAGAGTAAGTTTATGCAGATAGAAATTATGTCAACTGAGCCCTTATTTTATAGGAGGAAACAATCAAAGAAGAGTAGTGGTTACAGTATAAACTGCAATGAAGATAACGGGCCTGCATAAAGCAAATGCAGAATTGGCTGTCCTGGCTCTTGTAGGGAAGCCCAGCTGTGCAGAGAGCTGTCCGAGGTCCTGAACAGATTCAGCAGAGACAGGCCCTATCCTACTCTAGGGAGTTGTGCCTGCCCTAGCATCCACATGAAAGACTCTGAACTCAAGAAGTGGTGTCAATCTCAAATAGAAATAGGAGCCACCAAACCATACGTAAGGATCCCTTAAGGCTGACTTAGAAAATCACATGGTAACATTGTCTATGTTCTATTGTATTTTTATGTATTTCGTTAAATATTTCTTACATTTTAATCTTTTGGGGGGAGTGTTAACAGGCAGCAAAACGGCGGCATGTTTGACACCTCTGCTCTAGCATCATTTTAGCCCCTTACAGTTCAGCTTTCAAGGGGCCTTGCAAATGGAAATAATGATAGAAGTAAAGAATATCAGCCACTCTTGTTCCCCATTCAAACCACCCCAGCTCAAAAAAAAAATTTCTTCCCCCAACAAGTGCACAGGGACCCTCCCAACATCTACCAGCTCATTGCAGGGAGTTTTTGATCCAAGAATCACAGAGTGTCATGGGGGGAAAGCTCTTAGAGATCATCTACCCCAACACTCATTTTAAAGAGGTGACTAAGGGCCAGAGAAAGGACTCGACTTGCTCAAAGTCATATGATTTCTGAATGAGCCCAATGGTTTGTCCACACATGGGTCTGACCGCTCTGGAATGTGGGCACAATCGAGGCAGTGAGTTTCAATTTTATCTATGAATTTTAAAAGCAATTTGA